GTTCATAATGGAAAAAAGTTAATTTTAGTTTTTTATTTATAAAAAGTATAAAAATATTTTTATATAACATAAATTTATAATTTATAATAAATCATATAAAAATAAAAATAGATAATGCTAGAATTATTTTTAATAGATGAGGACATTTTTGAAATAAAAATAAAAATTTTCCTATAAAAGAGGCTTGTTTTTTAAAAAAGAGCTGGAGCTTTTTCTAATGCTATTTTTTTCAAATTTTTTTTAAACACAAACTGTTTATTTTTTTAAGAGCTTTTTTAAATTTTTGTTTGACTTGATTTTTACTTTTAAGAGATAGATAAGTTGAAAAAAAGTTAGACCAAACAAGCATTAAGCCAAGAATTAGGGTATGCCTCTTGACTTTTTATTAAAACTTTTATTGAGTCCATTAACAAATAATTTAAACTAGCATTCTTTTATATTGGATATTTTTAATAATAATAATAACACGAGATATAATCTCATATTAAAAAAATCTTTTGAGTAGTTATTTTTATTAAAAAAATTATATTTATTCAAAATGTTATATATTTGTATAAAAAATTATATCTTTGCTTATAAATAGGTTTCGTTGACAATAAAAATAAACCAATAGAAACAATTTCACTTAACTTTTTTTGAATTTTTTTCTAATTGCATTTATGCTATTTGGTTATAAAAAAACTCTATTAAGAATTTGATAATTTTAAAACGTAATCAATCACTAGTTTTATTGTATCGTGACACTAATAGTAAAAATGAATAATTTTTTTTAGAAAAATATTGGTACACATCTAAAAACTATTTGATTTTTTTTGTTTTTGTTATTTATTCATTTATTTTTTTATTTCAGATAAAATATCTACACCTTTTAAGTTTTAATCAAAGTTTCAAGTAAATACATTAAATGAACACTTCTCTCAAAGAGTACAAACATGGTTAATAGAGATTATGAAAAAAATAAAATATTTTTTATTAATTTAAAAAATTATTATTATATTTTGAAAAAAATTAAAAAAATAAAGATGCTGAAAAAAGGAAAACACTTACTGAGAAGGGAGCATCGGTGCTCCTTTAAGGAGCCCTAAATCAAACTCCCCAAGGAGAACACCAGAGCTCCGATCTGGTGCTCCCTTTGTCAAGCTTCCCAAGAGAGCTCTAGTACTACCCAAATGAGGAGCTTTTTTCTTATTAATAAAAAATTAATAAAATTATATAAAAATAATTTTTAAAATTAATTCAAAATAAAATTATTTTTTTAATATTATCACATCATCCGAAAACATTAATAATTGACTAATG